GTCTGTCCTGTGACCACCTCCTCATGCACCTAGCCTGGCACAGCAGTACAAGCCATGGCTCCTGCAGGGTCTGTCCCGTGATCTCCTGATGCACCTAGCCTGGCACAGCAGCACAACCCAAGGCACCTGCTGGGTCTGCCCCGAGACGTCCTGCCAGCGGGCGTTCGACACTTCACGTTGCCTCAACGTGCACCTAGCCTGGCACAGGCGCCATGGCGGTTGTTGTTGATGATGGTCGGTGTGTGTGCGTGTGTGTGTGTGTGCGTGCGCGCGTGTGTGTGTGTGTGCGTGCGTGCGTGTGTGTGCGTGTGTGTGCGTGTGTGTGTGCGCGTGTGTGTGCGTGTCTGTGTGTGTGTGCGTGTGTGCAGGTAAAGTTGAGAGCCAGTCACTGCTGGTATCAATGGGCGCATCACTCGCTCCCAATGCAGCAGCAGAGCTCGCCTCTCACACCAGGTGAGGCTGACACCTCACTCGCACACTCACCTAACGCTCACCTAGCACCTCACTCGCACCTCACTCACCTCACTCGCACCTCACACACTCACACACTCACACACACACACTCACACACTCGCCTAACGCTCACCTAGCACCTCACCTCACTCGCACACTCACACACACACTCGCACACTCACACACTCGCCTAACGCTCACCTAGCACCTCACCTCGCCTCACTCGCTCACTCACCTCACTCGCACACTCACGCACTCACACACTCGCCTAACGCTCACCTAGCACCTCACCTCACTCACCTCACTCGCTCACTCACCTCACTCGCACACTCACACACTCGCCTAACGCTCACCTAGCACCTCACCTCACCTCACTCGCACACTCACACACTCACACACTCGCACACTCACTCGCACACTCACCTAGCACTCACCTCACTCGCCCACTCGCTCGCTCACACGCACACTCGCACACTCGCACAGCACTCGCACACTCACACACTCACCCACTCGCACACTCGCACAGCACTCGCACACTCACACACTCGCCCACTCACACACTCACACACGCACACTCACACACTCGCACACTTGCACACTCACTCACGCGCGCACTCGCACACTCACACACTCGCACACTCACTCGCACAGCACTCACACACACACACTCACACTCGCACACTCACACAGCACTGACACACTCACGCACACTCGCGCACACACACACACACTCGCACACACACACTCGCACACACACACTCGCCCGTCTGTCCACCCACTCTCCCACCCATTCGCCCACCCACTCACCCACACACACACCCACTCACCTGCCCACCCGCTCACTCATCCGCCCATCCGCTCACCCAATGACCCACTCACCCGCCCACTCACCCGCCCTTCCCACTCGCCCTCCCACTCGTCCGCCCACTCGCCCACCCACTCGCCCACCCACTCGCCCGCCCTCCCACTCGTCCGCCCACTCGCCCGCCCTCCCACTCGTCCACCCACTCACCCGCCCTCCCACTCGTCCACCCACTCGCCCGCCCTCCCACTCGCCCTCCCACTCGTCCGCCCACTCACCCGCCCTCCCACTCGTCCACCCACTCACCCGCCCACCCGCTCCCCCGCCCACTGCCTCGCCCACCCAATCACCCACCCCACGTGTGCCGTGCCGGCCTTCATAGACGCTGCTCCTCCTGCTCCTCCTGCTCCTGCCGCTGCTGCTGACAGCCCTTGCCTGTTGAGGCCGCCCGCTGGGACTTTTGTCCGTGCGTGCCCCCGTGCGGCTTAGTAAACGTCCCCCACTGGGGGAGAGACAAAGGCGGCCGGGAGCGGCGGCGCTGGTCCGCCCACCCCCCTCCGCGTGTGCCGCAGTGCCGGTGGCCTTGGTAGGCGGGCCGCTGACGGCCCTTGCCCCTACAGTCTGTTGAGGCTACCCGGGGGACCTTTGTCTTTGCCAGCGCGCTGTCGAGCCACAGTTCCGCGGGCATCATGGCGGCCGCGGCAGCGTCTGGCCTGCACATCAGCAGCCCGGCGCTTTGCTCCACAGCTCCCGCAGTCAACACCCAGGTGGGAGACACGGGGGTGGTGGTGGTGGTGGCGGTGATAACCTCCACCACCGCCACCATCGCCACCTTCATCACCCCCATCGCCACCACCTTCACCGCCACCACCATCGCCACCACCACCATCACCACCACCACCACCACCTTCATCATCACCACCACCTTCACCATCACCACCGCCACCATCACCCCCACCACCTTCATCACCCCCATCGCCACCATCACCACCATCGCCATCACCACCACCACCACCACCACCTTCACCATCACCCCCATCGCCACCGCCACCATCACCACCTCCATCGCCACCACCGCCATCACCACCTCCACCATCACCACCACCACCATCACCGCCACCATCACCACCTCCACCATCACCACCACCACCATCACCACCTCCACCATCACCACCTCCATCGCCACCACCGCCATCACCACCTCCACCATCACCACCACCACCATCACCACCACCATCGCCACCGCCACCATCACCACCTCCACCATCACCACCACCACCATCACCACCTCCACCATCACCACCACCATCGCCACCACCGCCATCACCACCACCGCCATCACCACCACCAACACCACCGCCATCACCACCACCATCACCACCGCCATCACCACCACCATCACCACCACCATCTTCACCACCACCACCACCATCTTCACCACCACCACCACCTTCACCACCACCACCTTCACCACCACCACCATCACCACCATCACCACCACCACCATCACCACCACCACCATCACCACCACCACCTTCACCACCACCGCCATCACCACCTTCACCACCACCTCTTCACACCCTGCTGCCGCCCCTCCCCCCAGCCCGTGGTACCGGAGCCCCTCTACGGGAGCCACCCGGGCGTGGGCATGAGCGGGGGCCTAGGCTGTGGGCCCAGCCCGGCCACGGCCTTCTCCTCCTCCTCCGCCTCCTCCTCCTCGGCCTCCTCCTCCTCCACGCTGGGCCCCTCGCAGCACCCGGCCCTCAACAGCAGCTCCACGGCCTCCATCTCCTCGTCCGTCAACTCCTCCTCGTCCTGCTCCTCCTCCTCCTCCTCCTCCGCCGCCGTCTCCGCCGTCAACTCGTCGCTCTCCTCGGCGGGGAGGCAGCCTGCGGCCGCCACGTCCGGTGGGCAGGGGGGGGGCGGAGGGCGGGATCACTCACCCGCTCACTCATCAACTCACTCGCTCATCAACTCGCTCACTCACCCGCTCACTCGCTCATCAACTCACTCACTCACCCGCTCACTCGCTCATCAACTCACTCACTCACCCGCTCACTCGCTCATCAACTCGCTCGCTCATCAACTCACTCACTCACCCGCTCACTCGCTCATCAACCCACTCACCCGCTCGCTCGCTCATCAACTCACTCACTCACCCGCTCACTCGCTCAGCAACCCACTCACCCGCTCGCTCGCTCATCAACTCACTCGCTCATCAACTCGCTCACTCACCCGCTCGCTCGCTCATCAACTCACTCGCTCATCAACTCGCTCACCCGCTCGCTCGCTCATCAACTCGCTCACCCGCTCGCTCATCAACTCACTCACCCGCTCGCTCGCTCATCAACTCGCTCGCTCATCAACTCACTCACCCGCTCGCTCATCAACTCACTCACCCGCTCGCTCATCAACTCACTCACCCGCTCGCTCATCAACTCACTCACCCGCTCGCTCACCAACTCGCTCACACCGCTCGCTCATCAACTCGCTCACCCCGCTCGTTCATCAACTCGCTCACAGCCGCTCGCTCACTCATCAACTCAGTCGCGTGCTCGCTCATCAACTCGCTCATCAACTCACTCGCTCTCTTGCTCGCTCAGCAACTCGCTCACACGCTCACTTCGCTCATCAACTCACTCACCCGCTCACTCGCTCACTCATGAACTCACTCACCCGCTCGCTCATCAACTCACCCTCTCGCTCGCTCACCCCAACGCCCCCTCACCCCCCCAAACTCCTTACCCCAACCCCGCTCACCCCAACTCCCCCCGCTCACCCCAACTCTCCCCGCTCACCCCAACTCTCCCCCCCGCTCACCCCAACTCCCCCCCCCTCACCCCAACTCCCCCCCCCGCTCACCACAACTCCCCCCTCGCTCACCCCAACTCCCCCCGCTCACCCCAACCCCTCCCCGCTCACCCCAACTCCCCCCGCTCACCCCAACTCCCCCCGCTCACACCCAACTCCCCCCGCTCACTTCCAACCTCCCCCCGCTCACCCCAACTCTCCCCGCTCACCCCAACTCCCCCCCCTCACCCCAACTCCCCCCCCCGCTCACCACAACTCCCCCCCCCCGCTCACCCCAACTCCCCCCGGTCACCCCAACCCCTCCCCGCTCACCCCAACTCCGCCCCCCGCTCACCCCAACCCCGCTCACCACAACTCCCCCCGCTCACCCCAACTCCCCCCCCCCCCGCTCACCCCAACTCCCCCGCTCACCCCAACTCTCCCCGCTCACCCCAACTCTCCGCCGCTCACCCCAACTCCCCCCGCTCACCTCAACTCCCCCCGCTCACCCCAACTCCCCCGCTCACCCAACTCTCCCCGCTCACCCCAACTCTCCGCCGCTCACCCCAACTCCCCCCGCTCACCTCAACTCCCCCCCGCTCACCCCAACTCTCCCCGCTCACCCCAACCCCGCTCACCACAACTCTCCCCCGCTCACCCCAACTCTCCGCCGCTCACCCCAACTCCCCCCGCTCACCTCAACTCCCCCCCGCTCACCCCAACTCTCCCCGCTCACCCCAACCCCGCTCACCTCAACTCCCCCCCGCTCACCCCAACTCTCCGCCGCTCACCCCAACTCCCCCCGCTCACCTCAACTCCCCCCCGCTCACCCCAACTCTCCCCGCTCACCCCAACTCTCCCCGCTCACCCCAACTCTCCCCGCTCACCCAACTCCCCCCGCTCACCCCAACTCCCCCCGCTCACCCCAACTCCCCCCGCTCACCCCAACTCTCCCCGCTCACCCCAACTCTCCCCACTCACCCCAACTCTCCCCGCTCACCCCAACTCTCCGCCGCTCACCCCAACTCCCCCCGCTCACCCCAACTCCCCCCCGCTCACCCCAACTCTCCCCGCTCACCCCAACTCACCCCGCTCACCCCAACTCTCCCCGCTCACCCCAACTCCCCCCGCTCACCCCAACTCTCCCCGCTCACCCCAACTCCCCCCACTCACCCCAACTCCCCCCCCCCGCTCACCCCAACCCCGCTCACCACAACTCCCCCCGCTCACCCCAACTCCCCCCGCTCGCCCCAACTCTCCCCGCTCACCCCAACTCCCCCCGCTCACCCCAACTCCCCCCGCTCACCCCAACTCTCCCCGCTCACCCCAACTCTCCCCGCTCACCCCAACTCCCCCGCTCACCCCAACTCTCCCCGCTCACCCCAACTCACCCCGCTCACCCCAACTCTCCCCGCTCACCCCAACTCCCCCCGCTCACCCCAACTCTCCCCGCTCACCCCAACTCCCCCCACTCACCCCAACTCCCCCCCCCGCTCACCCCAACCCCGCTCACCACAACTCCCCCTGCTCACCCCAACTCCCCCTGCTCTGTCTGCCGACCCCCCACTAGGCAAGGCCCCCCCAAATCTGCCGCCCGGAGTGCCCCCAATGCTGCCCAACCAGTACATCATGGGTCCTGGGGGTCTACTGCCGGCCTACCCGGTGAGGCCCCGCACACTCACCACACGTACACTCACCACACGTACACTCACCACGCAGACACTCACCACACGTACACTCACCACACGTACACTCACCACACGTACACTCACCACACGTACACTCACCACACGTACACTCACCACACGTACACTCACCACACGTACACTCACCACACGTACACTCACCACACGTACACTCACCACACGTACACTCACCACACGTACACTCACCACACGTACACTCACCACACGTACACTCACCACACGTACACTCACCACACGTACACTCACCACACGTACACTCACCACACGTACACTCACCACACGTACACTCACCACGCGTACACTCACCACGCGTACACTCACCACGCAGACACTCACCACACGTACACTCGCCACACGTACACTCACCACGCACACACTCACCACACGTACACTCACCACGTAGACGCTCACCACACGTACACTCACCACACATACACTCACCACACGTACACTCACCACGTAGACGCTCACCACACGTACACTCACCACACGTACACTCACCACACGTACACTCACCACACGTACACTCACCACACGTACACTCACCGCACGTACACTCACCACACGTACACTCACCACGCAGACACTCACCACACGTACACTCACCACGCAGACACTCACCACACGTACACTCACCACACGTACACTCACCACACGTACACTCACCACACGTACACTCACCACGTAGACACTCACCACACGTACACTCACCACGCGTACACTCACCACGTAGACACTCACCACACGTACACTCACCACACGCACACTCACCGCACGTACACTCACCACACGTACACTCACCACACGTACACTCACCACGCGTACACTCACCACACGTACACTCACCACACGTACACTCACCACACGTACACTCACCACACGTACACTCACCACGCAGACACTCACCACGCAGACACTCACCACACGTACACTCACCACGCGTACACTCACCACACGCACACTCACCGCACGTACACTCACCACGCGTACACTCACCACACGTACACTCACCACACGTACACTCACCACGCAGACACTCACCACACGTACACTCACCACACGTACACTCACCACGAGTACACTCACCACACGTACACTCACCACGCAGACACTCACCACGCGCACACTCACCACACGTACACTCACCACACGTACACTCACCACGCAGACACTCACCACACGTACACTCACCACGCGTACACTCACCACACGTACACTCACCACACGTACACTCACCACGCGTACACTCACCACGCAGACACTCACCACGCAGACACTCACCACACGTACACTCACCACACGTGTACACTCACCACGCGTACACTCACCACACGTACACTCACCACACGTACACTCACCACAACGTACACTCACCACACGTACACTCACCACGTACACTCACCACGCAGACACTCACCACATGTACACTCAACACACGACACTCAGCCACACGTACACGCTCTACGCAGACACTCACCACACGTACACTCACCACACGTACACTCACCACGCTTACACTCACCACACGTACACTCACCACACGTACACTCACCACGCAGACACTCACCACACGCACACTCACCACACGCTCACGTCACCACACGCACACTCACCACACGTACACTCACCACACGTACACTCACCACGCGTACACTCACCACGCGTACACTCACCACACGTACACTCACACACTTACACTCACCACACGTACACTCACCACGCGTACACTCACCACGCAGACACTCACCACACGTACACTCACCACGCGTACACTCACCACGCAGACACTCACCACACGTACACTCACCACACGTACACTCACTGCACGTACACTCACCACGCGCACACTCACCACGCGCACACTCACCACACGCACACTCACCACACGTACACTCACCACACGTACACTCACCACGCGTACACTCACCACACGTACACTCACCACGCAGACACTCACCACACGTACACTCACCACATGTACACTCACCACGCGTACACTCACCACGCAGACACTCACCACACGTACACTCACCACACGTACACTCACCACACGTACACTCACCACGCAGACACTCACCACACGTACACTCACCACATGTACACTCACCACACGTACACTCACCACGCGTACACTCACCACACGTACACTCACCACACGTACACTCACCACGCAGACACTCACCACACGTACACTCACCACATGTACACTCACCACACGTACACTCACCACACGTACACTCACCACGCAGACACTCACCACACGTACACTCACCACATGTACACTCACCACACGTACACTCACCACGCGTACACTCACCACGCGTACACTCACCACACGTACACTCACCACACGTACACTCACCACACGTACACTCACCACACGTACACTCACCACGCAGACACTCACCACACGTACACTCACCACACGTACACTCACCACACGTACACTCACCGCACGTACACTCACCACACGTACACTCACCACACGTACACTCACCACGCAGACACTCACCACACGCAGACGCTCACCACACTTACACTCACCACACGTACACTCACCACGTACACTCACCACGCGCACACTCACCACGCGTACACTCACCACACGTACACTCACCACACGTACACTCACCACGCAGTACACTCACCACACGTACACTCACCACACGTACACTCACCCACGCAGACACTCACCACACCGTACACTCACCACGCCGACACTCACCACACGTACACTCACCACGCGTACACTCACCACGCGTACACTCACCACACGTACACTCACCACACGTACACTCACCACACGTACACTCACCACACGTACACTCACCACGCAGACACTCACCACACGTACACTCACCACGCAGATACTCACCACGCAGACACTCACCTCACGTACACTCACCACACGTACACTCACCACGCAGACACTCACCACACGTACACTCACCACACGTACACTCACCACGCAGACACTCAAACACGCAGACACTCACCACACGTACCCTCACCACGCAGACACTCACCACACGTACACTCACCACACGTACACTCACCACACGTACACTCACCACGCAGACACTCACCACGCAGACACTCACCACACGTACACTCACCACGTGTACACTCACCACACGTACCTTCACCACGCAGACACTCACCACACGTACACTCACCACACGTACACTCACCACACGTACACTCACCACGCAGACACTCACCACACGTACACTCACCACGTGTACACTCACCACGCAGACACTCACCACACGTACACTCACCACACGTACGCTCACCACACGTACACTCACCACGCAGACACTCACCACACGTACACTCACCACGCGTACACTCACCACACGTACACTCACCACACGTACACTCACCACGCGTACACTCACCACGCAGACACTCACCACGCAGACACTCACCACACGTACACTCACCACATGTACACTCACCACGCGTACACTCACCACACGTACACTCACCACACGTACACTCACCACACGTACACTCACCACACGTACACTCACCACGTACACTCACCACGCAGACACTCACCACATGTACACTCAACACACGTACACTCGCCACACGTACACTCACTACGCAGACACTCACCACACGTACACTCACCACACGTACACTCACCACGCGTACACTCACCACACGTACACTCACCACACGTACACTCACCACGCAGACACTCACCACACGTACACTCACCACACGTACACTCACCACGCAGACACTCACCACACGTACACTCACCACGCAGACACTCACCACGCGTACACTCACCACGCGTACACTCACCACACGTACACTCACCACACGTACACTCACCACGCAGACACTCACCACGCAGACACTCACCACACGTACACTCACCACGTGTACACTCACCACACGTACACTCACCACACGCACACTCACCACACGCTCACTCACCACACGCACACTCACCACACGTACACTCACCACACGTACACTCACCACGCGTACACTCACCACGCGTACACTCACCACACGTACACTCACCACACGTACACTCACCACACGTACACTCACCACACGTACACTCACCACGCGCACACTCACCACACGTACACTCACCACACGTACACTCACCACACGTACACTCACCACGCGTACACTCACCACACGTACACTCACCACACGTACACTCACCACACGTACACTCACCACACAGACACTCACCACACGTACACTCACCACACGTACACTCACCACATGTACACTCACCACGCAGACACTCACCACACGTACACTCACCACACGTACACTCACCACACGTACACTCACCACACGTACACTCACCACGCAGACACTCACCACACGCAGACGCTCACCACACTTACACTCACCACACGTACACTCACCACGTACACTCACCACGCGCACACTCACCACGCGCACACTCACCACACGTACACTCACCACACGTACACTCACCACGCAGACACTCACCACACGTACACTCACCACACAGACACTCACCACACGTACACTCACCACACGTACACTCACCACACGTACACTCACCACACGTACACTCACCACGCGTACACTCACCACGCGTACACTCACCACGCGTACACTCGCCACACGTACACTCACCACACGTACACTCACCACACGTACACTCAACACACGTACACTCACCACACGTACACTCACCACGCAGACACTCACCACACGTACACTCACCACACGTACACTCACCGCACGTACACTCACCGCACGTACACTCACCACACGTACACTCACCACACGTACACTCAACACACGTACACTCACCACACGTACACTCACCACACGTACACTCACCACACGTACACTCACCACACGTACACTCACCGCACGTACACTCACCACGCGTACACTCACCACGCGTACACTCACCACACGTACACTCACCGCACGTACACTCACCGCACGTACACTCACCGCACGTACACTCACCGCACGTACACTCACCGCACGTACACTCACCGCACGTACACTCACCACACGTACACTCACCACACGTACACTCACCACACGTACACTCACCACACGTACACTCACCACACGTACACTCACCACACGTACACTCACCACACGTACACTCACCACACGTACACTCACCACACGTACACTCACCACACGTACACTCACCACACGTACACTCACCACACGCACACTCACCACACGTACACTCACCACGCGTACACTCACCACGCGTACACTCACCACACGTACACTCACCACGTGTACACTCACCACAGGTACACTCACCACGCAGACACTCACCACACGTACACTCACCACACGTACGCTCACCACACGTACACTCACCACGCAGACACTCACCACGCGTACACTCACCACACGTACACTCACCACACGTACACTCACCACGCAGACACTCACCACGCGTACACTCACCACACGTACACTCACCACACGTACACTCACCACACGTACACTCACCACACGTACACTCACCACACGTACACTCACCACACGTACACTCACCACACTGAACAAGGTTTCCTCACCCACTTAGCCTCTCAATGTGCGGTAGGGGCAAGTGCTGTAAGTGAGATGATGCTGATGATGCTACTGCTGCTGATGATGATAATGATGATACTGTTGCTGCTGATGATGATGCTGATACTGATGATGATGCTGCTGCTGCTATGAGTGACCCAAATCTCTGTGTTTCAGCCTCAGATCTACGGCTATGATGAGCTGCAGATGATCCAGGCGAGAATGCCCATCGTGAGTTATTTCACTCACACACGCGGACTCGTACACACAGTAACACACACAGTAACACACACAGTCACACACACAGTCACACACACAGTCACACACACAGTCACACACACAGTCACACACACAGTCACACACACAGTCACACACACAGTCACACACACAGTCACACACACAGTCACACACACAGTAACACACACACGCACACAGTAACACACACACAGTCACACACACAGTCACACACACAGTAACACACACAGTCACACACACAGTCACACACAGTCACACACAGTCACACACACAGTAACACACACAGTCACACACACACGCACACAGTAACACACACAGTAACACACACAGTAACACACACAGTCACGCACAGTCACGCACAGTCACGCACAGTCACACACACAGTCACACACACAGTCAACAACAACAACAACCGCCATTCGCCACTAAGTGGCGGTGACGTCACCACGACGCTTGTGCCAGGCTATGTGCACCCTGAGGCCACGTGAAGTGTCGAACGCCCGCTGGCAGGAGGTCACGGGGCAGACCCAGGTGCCATGGGTCGACTGACTGAGATGACTGGCTGATGCACCACCTGTGCCCCCTACTGTGCCAACCTGCTGTGCTTTAGCCACCCGGCGCTCCGCTCGCTGTTTTGAGCGTCGCTCCTCCGCCCTCCGTGGTTGTTGGAGGGCGACTGCCTCCAACTGCCCAGTAGCATCCTTCACGAGCCTCCTCCACAGAGGCCGATCTTGACACCGCTGGTACCAGTCATCGGCAAGTCCACTCAGCTCCACGTCCTCCTGTACCACATCACTCCATCTCTTCTCTAGCCCGTGCCGCGCCCGCTTAGCCCCCTCAATCCGGCCAAACAAAAGCTGTTTCGGCATGCGGTGGCTGGGCATGCGGGCTACATGACCCAGCCATCGCAGCCTTGCCTGCCGGAGGAGCTCACCGATGGGACCCTGCCCAGATCTTTCAAGGATTTGTGAGCTCCTCACACAATCCAGTCTGGTTAAACCCAGGATGGATCATAGGCAGGCCAGCCTAAATGTTTCTAACCGGCGAAGATGTTCCATTAGGGGGGTCCACGTTTCGCAAGCGTAGAGAAGGGAGGGAATGACCGTGGCCGAGAAGACCTGAAGCTTAGTGCGGAGCGACAGACCAGGTAGCTTCCACACAGCGTTACGCAACCGATGAAAAGATATTTCCGCTCGACTGATTCGGAGTGAGACCTCTGCTGTTAAACTGGAGCCAGTCATAAGCACACTGCCCAGGTATGGGAAACTCTCCACTCTCTCCACAACTGCCCCATCACCGATTGGGAGTTGTGGGGGTGGAGTGTCCGATGGTACAAAATACCCAGGCAGGTGCTTAGTTTTGGTGGGGCTGATGGTAAGGCCCCACCTCTTAGTGGCACGCTCCAGTCTCAGCAGCAGCGTCTCCAACTCCTCCTCTGACTGAGCAGCTATTACCAAGTCATCAGCATACATAACGTGGTTGAGCAATAGGGAGCCATCCCTTGACCGCACCCGGGCATCGATTAGCCTCCCATTATATCTGTACCATATGGAGATTCCCCCGGTACAGCTATTGAAGGCTTCACGAACTACGTGGTCAATATAGATGTTAAATAATGTGGGAGCCAGAGGACATCCCTGTCGCACCCCAAGGTGTACAGGGAATGGCTCTGACTCCCGGCCACGTAGTTTTACCCGGGCCCGCTCACCATCATGAAGGTCCTTAATGATCGTGAGCAGAGGGTCAGGTACTCCAAAAGCACGAAGAACGACCCAGAGCCCAGGCCTACTGATGGTATCATAGGCCTTGACCAGGTCAATAAAGCAGAGATGTAGGTCTTGTTGGAATTCCCTACACCTCTGCTGTAGCAGACGGACAGAAAAATATGGCATCTGTGCAGGACCGCCCTTTCCTGAAACCGCATTGGGGCTCCGCAAGCCTCTCCTCAGCGTGCCTGGCAAGGCGATGCTGAATAATCCTTGCCAGGACCTTTCCCGGCACACTGAGGAGTGAGATGCCCCTGTAGTTGTTACAGTCTGTGCGGTCCCCCTTCTTAAAAAGGGGGACCACCAGGGCATCCTTCCAATCCTGCGGAACCCGTCCAGTAGTCCAGACTGTTGTTATGATGTCATATAGGGCAGTCTGTGCACAAACGCCACCCTCCCTCAGCATTTCGCTTGGGAGATCATCTCTGCCCGCTGCCTTTCCTGGTCTCAGACTCCGGATCGCCTTCAATACTTCCTCAGCAGATGGCACCTCAGCCAGCCACTCACAGGGGGTGACTTCATCCAATATTTGAGGCACCGCAGCCTCAGCAGGGTCATCCTCACTTTGTGCCACGATGTTTTCCTGGCTGAGGGATTTTCCCTCCCCCAGGACCTCACAGAAATGCTCAGCAAATCTGCGAACCTGTTCCTGGGGGTCGGAAATTGGATCACCGTTTTTTCCCCTAATGATGGTAATAGGTGTGGCGCTGCAGGTTACTTTTTTGATGGAGTTAAATAGAGATTTGTGATCACGGGCCACTGAGGCAGACTCCATCTCCTCAGCAACCCGCGACCACCACCCATCCTTGCAGCGCCTCACGGCTCTCCGAACCTCCGAGCGAAGGCTGCGGTAAGCCTCCTCATTCTCTGACGTGGGATTCTGTAGCCGATGACAGTGGGCCTGTCGCTTTTTCTCAACCATCCTGAACACCTCCTCTGTCAACCAGGGTCTCTGGGGAGGTCTGGACCGTGTACCCAAAGCAGCCATTGCAGCTGCATGAGTCAGTCCTAAACCTCGCCCATTTACCCTCGACATCAGGAGGAGTCGGGGACGATGCCAATCCCAGCCGCAAGCGATGATGAAATTCTCGCTTGCAACTTTCATCAGATAACTGAGACCAGGCCACTTTAGGTTGGAATGGGGTCCTGGGTGTACACCCACCACCGGAGTGGAAGAATGGCAGGCGCATCTTACAGATGACTAGTCGATGGTCAGAGGGCAGATCAGCTCCACGGTAGGTCCTGGTGTCAAGGACATGGGCTCGCATTCGCTGGTCCGTCACTATGTAGTCCAGCAGATGTTCTTGCTTGGACCCGGCATGCATCCATGATGTTGTGTGGATGCGCCGATGCCGGAACAGCGTGTTGGTAATTACAAGCCCATGGGCTGCACAAAAATCTAGCAACCTCCTACCGTTGTTATTGAGCTGATCTGGCCCATGCCCTCCAATCACTCCAGACCAGGTGCCAGTATCATGACCAACTCGGGCATTGAAGTCACCCAACATGATGACTCTATCCCGAGGGGCCACTTTAGCCAGCACCTGTGACAGGAGGTCATAGAAGGCATCTGACTCATCGGCTTTGCCTGCATCCCTCCACGGATGTTCATCTTCGGTGGGGGCATAAGTAACCACGACCACCATTCCTCGCCTCCGGTTGGTGGGAAGGCGAGCCCAAAGTAGCCTGGGGCTTACAGCTTCCCACACCTCACCGCCACGCTCCCACGCCCCCTTCATTCTTTTGTTCAAAAGAAGACCCACACCCTGTTGTTTGGCAGTCTGCTGCCCCGAGTAGAGGACTGTCCACCCCTCATGGTGGCAGGAGCCAGAGCCGGTCCACCGGACCTCCTGAATGCCGCATAGATCCAGGCGGTACCGGTCCAGCTCCCGACAGAGGAGTGGCAGCCTCTCCTCTGCAGTGAGCGTTCGAACATTCCACGTGGCCAACCGTAGTGGCTTTTCGTTGTTTCTGGAGTAGCCCCGAGGGTAGGTATTCAATCTCCTGGCTCCGCCAATTGGGGTTTGGCCAGGAGACGTCATAGACGCCTGGCCCCCCGGGGCCTCCGGCACAAGCTTAGTTGTTACATATTTCAGTTTAATTCGTAGTTTCGTGGTAATTAATTGAAGGTGGAGGGGTTACCAGCCCCTCGCACCCGTCCAGAGCCCCCGTTTAGCCCCTGTGGTGGACACATATGCCATGAGGGGAGGAGCCAATCAAAATTGGATCTCCCCCCACAGCGCTGTCCACGACAGAGTTGCCCGTCCGGCACCGCGAGGAGGTAGGGGGTTGTTTTGCCGGACACACTAACACACACACTAACACACACACTAACACACACAGTAACACACACAGTCACACAGTCACACACAGTCACACACACACGCACACACGCACACACACACACAGTCACACACACACACTAACACACACAGTCACACATACACACTCACACATGCGGACTCGTACACACACACACACAGGCACACACACACAGGCACACACGACAACAACAACCGCCATTCGCCACTAAGTGGCGGTGACGTCACCACGACGCTTGTGCCAGGCCATGTGCACCTTGAGGCCACGTGAAGTGTCGAACGCCCGCTGGCAGGAGGTGACGGGGCAGACCCAGGTGGCACGGGTCGACTGACTGAGATGACTGAGATGACTGGCTGATGCACCACCTCTGCCCCCTACTGTGCCAACCTGCTGTGCGTTAGCCACCCGGCGCTCCGCTCGTTGTTCTGAGCGTCGCTCCTCCGCCCTCCGTTGTTGTTGGAGGGCGACTGCCTCCAACTGCCCAGTAGCGTCCTTCACGAGCCTCCTCCACAGACGTCGATCTTGACACCGCTGGTACCAGCCATCGGCAAGTCCACTCAGCTCCACGTCCTCCTGTACCACATCACTCCATCTCTTCTCTAGCCCGTGCCGCGCCCGTTTAGCCCCCTCGATCTGGCCGAACAAAAGCTGTTTTGGCATGCGGTGGCTGGGCATGCGGGCTACATGACTCAGCCAACGCAGCCTTGCCTGCCGGAGGAGCTCACCGATGGGACCTTGCCCAGATCTTTCAAGGATTTGTGAGCTCCTCACACAATCCAGTCTGGTTAAACCCAGGATGGATCGTAGGCAGGCTAACCTAAATGTTTCTAACCGGCGAAGATGTTCCATTAGGGGGGTCCACGTTTCGCAAGCGTAGAGAAGGGAGGGAATGACCGTGGCCGAGAAGACCTGAAGCTTAGTGCGGAGCGACAGACCAGGTAGCTTCCACACAGCGTTACGCAACCGATGAAAAGATATTGCCGCTCGACTGATTCGGAGTGAGACCTCTGCTGTTAAACTGGAGCCGGTCATAAGCACACTGCCTAGGTATGGGAAACTCTCCACTCTCTCCACAACTGCCCCATCACTGATTGGGAGTTGTGGGGGTGGAGTGTCCGATGGTACAAAATACCCAGGCAGGTGCTTAGTTTTGGTGGGGCTGATGGTAAGGCCCCATCTCTTAGTGGCACGCTCCAGTCTCAGCAGCAGCGTCTCCAACTCCTCCTCTGATTGAGCAGTTATTACCAAATCATCAGCATACATAACGTGGTTGAGCAATAGGGAGCCATCCCTTGACCGCACCCGGGCATCGATCAGCCTCCCATTGTGTCTGTACCATATGGAGATTCCTCCGGTACAGCCATTGAAGGCTTCACGAACTACATGATCAATAGATATGTTAAATAATGTGGGAGCCAGAGGACATCCCTGCTGCACCCCAAGGTGTACTGGGAATGGCTCTGACTCCCGGTCACGTAGTTTTACCCGGGCCCGCTCACCATCAATGAAGGTTCTTAATGATCGTGAGCAGAGGGTCAGGTACTCCAAAAGCACGAAGAACGACCCAGAGCCCAGGCCTACTGATGGTATCATAGGCCTTGACCAGGTCAATAAAGCAGAGATGTAGGTCTTGTTCAAAAGAAGAGCCACACCCTGTTGTTTGGCAGTCTGCTGCCCCGAGTAGAGGACTGTCCACCCCTCATGGTGGCAGGAGCCAGAACCGGTCCATCGGACCCTCCCGAATGCCACAGAGATCCAGGCGGTACCGGTCCAGCTCCCGACAGGAGCGGCAGCCTCTCCTCCGCGGTGAGCGTTCGAACATTCCACGTGGCCACACGAAGTGGCTTTTCGTTGTTTCTGGAGGAGCCCCGAGGGTAGAGATTCAATCTCCTGGCTCCGCCAATTGGGGTTTGGCCAGGAGACGTCATAGACGCCTGTCCAGCACAAGCTTATTAGTTACATATTTAAGTCGTGGTTTAGTGGTAATTAATTGAAGGTGGAGGGGTTACCAGCCCCTCGCACCCGTCCAGAGCCCCCGTTTAGCCCCTGTGGTGGTCACAGACGCCATGAGGGGAGAGGCCGTACACACACTCACACACACATGGACACGTACACACTCACCCCGTTGCTTTGCCCCACGTGTCACCACGTGTCACCACGTGTCACCACGTGTGTCACCACGTGTGTCACCACGTGTGTCACCACGTGTCACCACGTGTGTCACCACGTGTGTCACCACGTGTGTCACCACGTGTGTCACCACGTGTGTCACTACGTGTCACCACGTGTGTTACCACGTGTCACCACGTGTCACCATGTTTGTCACACCACGTGTCACCACGTGTGTTACCACGTGTGTCACCACGTGTCACCACGTGTGTCATCACGTGTCACCACGTGTGTCACCACGTGTGTCACCACGTGTCACCACATGTCACCACGTGTGTCATCACGTGTCACCACGTGTGTCACCACGTGTGTCACCACGTGTGTCACCACGTGTGTCACCACGTGTCATCACGTGTCACCACGTGTGTCACCACGTGTCATCACGTGTGTCACCACGTGTCATCACGTGTCACCACGTGTCACCACGTGTGTCACCACGTGTGTCACCACGTGTGTCACCACGTGTGTCACCACGTGTGTCACCACGTGTCACCACGTGTCACCACGTGTGTCACCACGTGTGTCACCACGTGTGTCACCACGTGTGTCACCACGTGTCATCACGTGTGTCACCACGTGTCACCACGTGTGTCACCACGTGTCACCACGTGTGTCACCACGTGTCATCACATGTCATCACGTGTCACCACGTGTGTCACCACGTGTGTCACCACGTGTGTCACCACGTGTCACCACGTGTCATCACGTGTGTCACCACGTGTCATCACGTGTCACCACGTGTCACCACGTGTCACCACGTGTCACCACGTGTCACCACGTGTCACCACGTGGTGACACACGTGTGTCACCACGTGTGTCACCACGTGTGTCACCACGTGTCTCACCACGTGTGTCACCACGTGTGTCACCACGTGTGTCACCACGTGTGTCACCACGTGTGTCACCACGTGTCATCACGTGTCACCACGTGTGTCACCACGTGTCACCACGTGTCACCACGTGTGTCACCACGTGTCATCACATGTCATCACGTGTCACCACGTGTGTCACCACGTGTGTCACCACGTGTGTCACCACGTGTGTCACCACGTGTCACCACATGTCACCGCGTGTGTCACCCTGTGCAGGACTACTATGGGATGGCGTTCACTCCAATGCTGTCCAGTCGGGAGGCCACTCTCCCTGGCTCCTCCTACACAGGTGAGAGGCAGCCCGTGGTGAGGGTGAGGGTGGGTGAGGGTGGGTGAGGGTTGGGTGAGGGTTGGGTGAGGGTTGGGTGAGGGTTGGGTGAGGGTTGGGTGAGGGTAGAGTGGGTGGATAGGTGACGGTGAGGGTGAGGGTGGGTGAGGGTTGGGTGAGGGTTGGGTGAGGGTTGGGTGGGTGGATAGGTGACGGTGAAGGTGGGTGGGTGAGGGTGAGTGAGTGGGTGAGGAGGGTGAGTGAGTCTGGGTGAGGAGGGTGAGTGAGTGTGTGTGAGGCAGGGTGTGTGAGTCAGTGTGTGTGAGTCAGGGTGTGTGTGAGTCAGTGTGCGTGAGTCAGTGTGTGCGTGAGTCAGTGTGTGCGTGAGTCAGTGTGCGTGAGTCAGGGTGTGTGTGAGTCAGTGTGTGTGTGTGAGTCAGGGTGTGCGTGAGTCAGTGTGTGTGTGAGTCAGGGTGTGTGTGAGTCAGTGTGCGTGAGTCAGTGTGTGTGAGTCAGTGTGTGTGTGAGTCAGTGTGTGTGTGAGTCAGTGTGTGTGTGAGTCAGTGTGTGTGTGTGTGTCAGTGTGCGTGAGTCAGGGTGTGTGTGAGTCAGTGTGTGTGTGTGAGTCAGTGTGTGCGTGAGTCAGGGTGTGCGTGAGTCAGTGTGTGTGAGTCAGTGTGTGCGTGAGTCAGTGTGTGCGTGAGTCAGTGTGTGTGAGTCAGTGTGTGTGTGAGTCAGTGTGTGTGTGAGTCAGTGTGTGTGTGAGTCAGTGTGTGTGTGTGAGTCAGTGTGTGTGTGTGAGTCAGGGTGTGTGAGTCAGTGTGTGTGCGTCAGTGTGTGTGTGAGTCAGGGTGTGTGTGAGTCAGTGTGTGTGAGTCAGTGTGTGTGTGAGTCAGTGTGTGCGTGAGTCAGTGTGTGCGTGAGTCAGTGTGTGTGTGAGTCAGTGTGCGTGAGTCAGTGTGTGCGTGAGTCAGTGTGTGTGTGAGTCAGGGTGTGTGAGTCAGTGTGTGTGTGAGTCAGTATGTGCGAGTCAGTGTGTGTGAGTCAGGGTGTGTGAGTCAGTGTGTGTGTGAGTCAGTATGTGTGTGAGTCAGTGTGCGTGAGTCAGTATGTGTGTGAGTCAGTGTGTGTGTGAGTCAGTGTGTGTGTGAGTCAGTGTGTGTGTGAGTCAGTGTGTGTGTGAGTCAGTGTGTGTGAGTCAGTGTGTGCGTGAGTCAGTGTGTGTGAGTCAGTGTGTGAGTGAGTCAGGGTGTGAGTGAGTCAGGGTGTGAGTGAGTCAGTGTGCGTGAGTCAGTGTGTGTGAGTCAGTGTGTGCGTGAGTCAGGGTGTGTGAGTCAGTGTGTGTGTGAGTCAGGGTGTGTGAGTCAGTGTGTGTGTGAGTCAGTATGTGTGTGAGTCAGTGTGTGCGTGAGTCAGTGTGTGCGTGAGTCAGTGTGTGTGAGTCAGTGTGTGTGAGTCAGTGTGTGTGTGAGTCAGTGTGTGTGTGAGTCAGTGTGTGTGTGTGAGTCAGTGTGTGTGTGTGAGTCGGGGTGCGTGAGTCGGGGTGCGTGAGTCGGGGTGCGTGAGTCGGGGTGCGTGAGTCGGGGTGCGTGAGTCGGGGTGCGTGAGTCGGGGTGCGTGAGTCAGTGTGCGTGAGTCAGTGTGTGCGTGAGTCAGTGTGCGTGAGTCAGTGTGTGCGTGAGTCAGTGTGTGCGTGAGTCAGTGTGTGCGTGAGTCAGTGTGTGCGTGAGTCAGTGTGTGAGTGAGTCAGTGTGTGTGTGAGTCAGTGCGGTGTGCGTGAGTCAGTGTGTGAGTCAGTGTGTGTGTGAGTCAGTGTGTGTGAGTCAGTGTGTGTGTGAGTCAGTGTGTGCGTGAGTCAGTGTGTGTGAGTCAGTGTGTGTGCGTGAGTCAGTGTGTGTGAGTCAGGGTGTGTGAGTCAGGGTGTGTGTGAGTCAGTGTGTGTGAGTCAGTGTGTGCGTGAGTCAGTGTGTGCGTGAGTCAGTGTGTGTGTGTGTGTGAGTCAGTGTGTGCGTGAGTCAGTGTGTGCGTGAGTCAGTGTGTGTGCGTGAGTCAGTGTGTGTGCGTGAGTCAGTGTGTGTGCGTGAGTCAGTGTGTGTGCGTGAGTCAGTGTGTGTGCGTGAGTCAGTGTGTGTGTGTGTCAGTGTGTGTGTGTGTGAGTCAGTGTGTGTGTGTGAGTCAGTGTGTGTGTGAGTCAGTGTGTGTGAGTCAGTGTGTGTGTGTGAGTCAGTGTGTGTGTGTGAGTCAGTGTGTGTGTGTGAGTCAGTGTGCGCGTGAGTCAGTGTGTGTGTGTGAGTCAGTGTGTGTGTGTGAGTCAGTGTGTGTGTGAGTCAGTGTGTGTGTGTCAGTGTGTGTGTGAGTCAGTGTGTGCGTGAGTCAGTGTGTGCGTGAGTCAGTGTGTGCGTGAGTCAGTGTGTGTGTGTGAGTCAGTGTGTGTGTGTGAGTCAGTGTGTGTGTGTGAGTCAGTGTGTGCGTGAGTCAGTGTGTGTGTGTGTCAGGGCGGCGTGAGTCAGTGTGTGTGAGTCAGGGCGTGTGAGTCAGGGTGTGTGTGCGTCAGTGTGTGTGAGTCAGTGTGTGTGAGTCAGTGTGTGAGTCAGTGTGTGTGAGTCAGTGTGTGTGTGTGTGAGTCAGGGTGTGTGTGAGTCAGTGTGTGTGTGAGTCAGTGTGTGTGTGAGTCAGTGTGTGTGCGTCAGGGTGAGTCAGGGTGTGTGTGAGTCAGGGTGAGTCAGGGTGTGTGAGTCAGTGTGTGTGTGTGTGAGTCAGGGTGTGTGTGCGTCAGTGTGTGTGAGTCAGTGTGTGTGAGTCAGTGTGTGTGAGTCAGTGTGTGTGAGTCAGTGTGTGTGTGTGTGAGTCAGGGTGTGTGTGCGTCAGTGTGTGTGAGTCAGTGTGTGTGAGTCAATGTGTGTGAGTCAGTGTGTGTGAGTCAGTGTGTGTGAGTCAGTGTGTGTGTGTGTGAGTCAGGGTGTGTGTGTGAGTCAGTGTGTGTGTGTGCGTCAGTGTGAGTTCGGTGTGTGTGTGAGTCAGTGTGTGTGTGAGTCAGTGTGTGTGTGAGTGTGCGTCAGTGTGAGTCAGTGTGTGCGTGATGAGTCAGTGCGGTGGTCACGTGCTCTCGTCACACCCCCCCCCCACCACCCACCCCACCCCCCACCACCCCGCCCCCAGGCGAGGCGACCAAATTTGGGCGTGGCGAGGCCCAATCCCCGTCTCCTGCCCTGAGCCTCGCCCAGGCCCAGGCTCAGGCCCAGGCCCAGCAGCAGCAACAGCAGCAGCAGCAGCAGCAGCAGAACGCCCCGGGCCAACCGGGCAGCCACGTGGCTGCCCAGCAAGGCTTCCCTCCACCGCCGCCCCCGGCACTGCCCCCGGGCTACAGCTACACCGGCCTTCCCTACTACGCGGCGGCCGCGGCCGCGGCGGCCGCGGCCGCGGCCGCGGCCAACGCCGGCGTCCCCGGAGGGTTCCAGTACGCGGCAGGGCCTCCCGTGTTCACGGTGGGTGGGGGGGGTGGGGGGGGGGGGGTGGGGGGGGGGGGTGTGGGTGAGGGGGTGGTGGTGGGGGGGTGGTGTGGGGGTGGTGTGTGTGGGGGGTGGTGTGTGTGTGTGTGGGTGGTGTGTGTGTGGGGGTGGTGTGTGTGTGTGTGGGGGTGGTGTGTGTGTGTGTGGGGTGGTGTGTGTGTGTGGGGGGTGGTGTGTGTGTGTGGGGGTGGTTTGTGTGTGTGGGGGGTGGTGTGTGTGGGGGGTGGTGTGTGTGTGTGTGGGGGGTGGTGTGTGTGGGGGGTGGTGTGTGTGTGGGGGGTGGTGTGTGTGGTGTGTGTGGGGGGTGGTGTGTGTGTGTGTGGGGGGTGGTGTGTGTGGGGGGTGGTGTGTGTGTGGGGGGTGGTGTGTGTGGTGTGTGTGGGGGGTGGTGTGTGTGTGGGGGTGGTGGTGTGTGTGTGGGGGTGGTGGTGTGTGTGTGGGGTGGTGTGTGTGGTGTGTGTGGGGGGTGGTGTGTGTGTGTGTGGTGTGTGTGGGGGGTGGTGTGTGTGTGGGTGGTGTGTGTGGGGGGTGGTGTGTGTGTGGGTGGTGTGTGTGTGGGGGTGGTGGTGTGTGTGGGGTGGTGTGTGTGGGTGGTGTGTGTGGGTGGTGTGTGTGTGTGGGGGGTGGTGTGTGTGTGTGGGGGTGGTTTGTGTGTGTGGGGGGTGGTGTGTGTGGGGGGTGGTGTGTGTGTGTGTGGGGGGTGGTGTGTGTGGGGGGTGGTGTGTGTGTGGGAGGTGGTGTGTGTGGTGTGTGTGGGGGGTGGTGGTGTGTGTGTGGGGGGTGGTGGTGTGTGTGTGGGGGGTGGTGGTGTGTGTGTGGGGGGTGGTGTGTGTGTGTGGGGTGGTGTGTGTGTGTGTGTGTGGGGTGGTGTGTGTGTGTGGGGGGTGGTGTGTGTGTGTGTGGGGGGTGGTGTGTGTGTGGGTGGTGTGTGTGGTGTGAGGTGGGGTGGTGTGTGTGTTGGGTTGTGTGTTGGGGGTGCTGACGATGTTAATGCTGCTGATGATGATGCTGCTGCTGATGATGATGCTGCTTCTGCTGATGATGATGATGATGCTGCTGCTGATGATGATGATGATGCTGCTCATGATGATGATGATGCTGCTCATGATGATGATGCTCATGATGATGATGATGCTGCTGCTGATGATGATGATGCTGATGATGATGCTGCTACTGATGCTGCTGATGATGATAATGCTTCTGCTGATGATAACGCTGCTGTTGATGCTGCTGCTGATGATGAATGCTGCTGAGGATAATGATGCTGCTGCTGATGATGATGCTGATGCTGCTGCTGCTGCTGCTGATGATGATGCTGCTGCTTGCTCACAGCTGCCCGCATCCTCTGCCAAGCAGCACGGCGTCGGAGTGAACGCAGCCTCAACAGCGGCCTTCCAGCAGCCTGGGGCCTACAGCTCCCACGCCTACGGCGGAGGTGAATGCTGCTCACCACTCGCTCACCGCTCGCTCACCACTCGCTCACCCACTCACTCACCCACTCACTCACCACTCGCTCACCCACTCACCCACTCACTCACCCACTCACTCACCCACTCGCTACAGCCTGGGGCCTACAGCTCCCACGCCTACGGCGGAGGTGAATGCTGCTCACCACTCGCTCACCGCTCGCTCACCCACTCACTCACCCACTCACTCACCCACTGACTACAGCCTGGGGCCTACAGCTCCCACGCCTACGGCAAGAGGTGAATGCTGCTCACCACTCGCTCACCACTCGCTCACCACTTGCTCACCCACTCACTCACCCACTCGCTACAGCCTGGGGCCTACAGCTTCCACGCCTCCGGCGGAGGTGAGTGCTGCTCACCACTCGCTCACCGCTCGCTCGCTCACCACTCTCTCCTCACTCACCCACTCACTACTCGCTCGCTCACCCGGTGAGGCGCACACTTGTAGACCCTCTGTGGCTCACCAGTGTCACCATCAGGGGGGAAATTCTCTGTGCAACATCAAGAGCCGTGAGTGTGAGGTGGGTGTGAGCTCACCACTCACGCTCACTCAACCACTCACGGCTTACAAGGCTCCACCACCATGGTCACACTCACCACTCACTCACTCACCCACTCACCCACTCACCCACCCACCCACTCACCCACTCACTCACCCACTCATTTACTCACCCACCCACTCACTCACCCACCCACTCACTCACTCATCCACCCACCCACTCACACACTCACCCACTCACCCACTCACTCATCCACTCACTCCTCCACTCATCCACCCACCTAATCACCGACTCACTCACCCACTCACTCACTCACTCACCCACCCACTCACTCACCCACTCACCCACTCACTCACCCACCCACTCACTCACTCACTCATCCACCCACCCACTCACCCACTCACCCACTCACTCATCCACTCACTCCTCCACTCACTTACCCACTCATCCACCCACCTAATCACCGACTCACTCACCCACACACTCACTCATCCACTCACTCACTCATCCACTCACCCACCCACCCACTCAGTGAGTGTGAGCTCACCACTCGCGCTCACTCAACCACTCACGGCTTACAAGTATCACAATCGGTATCACCATTACCATCATCTCACTGTCGCTTTCTCAGTGTCTCCACGCGTCTCTCTCACCTTGTCCCTCTCCCCGTGTCTCTCTCACCTTGTCCCTCTCCCCGTGTCTCACCTTATCTCACTCCCCGTATCTCACTCACCGTGTCTCACTCCCCGTGTCTCTCTCACCTTGTCTCACTCCCCGTGTCTCTCTCACCTTGTCTCACTCCCCGTGTCTCACTCACCTTGTCTCACTCCCCGTGTCTCACTCACCTTGTCTCACTCCCTGTGTCTCACTCACCTTGTCTCACTCCCCGTGTCTCACTCACCTTGTCTCACTCCCCGTGTCTCACTCCCCGTGTCTCACTCCCCACGTCTCTATTACCGTGTCTCTCTCTCACCGTGTCTCTCTGTTACTGTGTCTCTCTCACCGTGTCTCACTCACCGTGTCTCACTCCCCGTGTCGCACTCCCCGTGTCTCACTCCCTGTGTCTCACTCACCTTGTCTCACTCCCCGTGTCTCTCTCACCTTGTGTCACTCCCCGTGTCTCACTCCCCGTGTCTCACTCCCCACGTCTCTATTACCGTGTCTCTCTCTCACCGTGTCTCTCTGTTACTGTGTCTCTCTTACCGTGTCTCTATCCCCACGTGTCTCTCTCTCCCCGTGTCTCTCTCTCCCCGTGTCTCTCTCTCCCCGTGTCTGTCTCCCCCCGTGTCTCTCTCCCCGTGTCTCTCTGCCCCCATCTCTCTGCCCCCGTGTCTCTCTCCCCCCGTGTCTTTCTCCCCCCGTGTCTTTCTCCCCACGTGTCTTTCTCCCCACGTGTCTTTCTCCCCCCGTGTCTCTCACCATATCTCCTGTCTCCCCGTGTCTCTCTCCCCGTGTCCCTCTCCCCGTGTCTCTCTCCCCGTGTCTCTCTCCCCGTGTCTCTCTCCCCTCTCCCCGTGTCTCTCTCCCCATGTCTCTCTCCCCGTGTCTCTCTCCCCGTGTCTCTGTCCCCGTGTCTCTCTCCCCCCGTGTCTCTCTCTCACCGTGTCTCCTCTTTTGCCGTGTCTCTCTCTCAGCGTGTCTCGCCATGTCTCTCTGCCGATGTCTCTCTCTCAGCGTGTCTCTCAGCGTGTCTCTCTCTCAGCGTGTCTCTCTGCCGGTGTCTCTCTCCCCGTGTCTCTCTCCCCGTGTCTCTCTCCCCGTGTCTCTCTCCCCGTGTCTCTCTCTCAGCGTGTCTCTCTCTCAGCGTGTCTCGCCAGGTCTCTCTGCCGGTGTCTCTCTCAGTGTGTCTCTCTCTCAGCGTATCTCTCAGCGTGTCTCTCTTGCCGTGTATCTCTCTCAGCGTGTCTCTCTCAGCGTGTCTCTCTTGCCGTGTCTTCTGCCGGTGTCTCTCAGCGTGTCTCTCTCTCAGCGTGTCTCTCTCTCAGCGTGTCTTGCCGTGTCTCTCTGCCGGTGTCTCTCTCTCAGCGTGTCTCTCTTGCCGTGTCTCTCTCTCAGCGTGCCGTGTCTCTCTCAGCGTGTCTCTCTCAGCGTGTCTCTCTCAGCGTGTCTCTCTCTCTCTCAGCGTGTCTCTCTTGCCGTGTCTCTCTGCCGGTGTCTCTCTCCCCGTGTCTCTCAGCGTGTCTCTCTCAGCGTGCCGTGTCTCTCTCAGCATGTCTCTCTCAGCGTGTCTCTCTCCCCCCTGTGTCTCTCTCTCTCTCCCCATGTCTCTCTCCCCGTGTCTCTCTCCCCCCCGTGTCTCTCTCCCCCCCGTGTCTCTCTCCCCCCGTGTCTTTCTCCCCCCGTGTCTTTCTCCCCACGTGTCTTTCTCCCCACGTGTCTTTCTCCCCCCGTGTCTCTCACCATATCTCCTGTCTCCCCGTGTCTCTCTCCCCGTGTCCCTCTCCCCGTGTCTCTCTCCCCGTGTCCCTCTCCCCGTGTCTCTCTCCCCGTGTCTCTCTCCCCGTGTCTCTCTCCCCTCTCCCCGTGTCTCTCTCCCCATGTCTCTCTCCCCGTGTCTCTCTCCCCGTGTCTCTGTCCCCGTGTCTCTCTCCCCCCGTGTCTCTCTCTCACCGTGTCTCCTCTCTTGCCGTGTCTCTCTCTCAGCGTGTCTCGCCATGTCTCTCTGCCGATGTCTCTCTCTCAGCGTGTCTCTCAGCGTGTCTCTCTCTCAGCGTGTCTCTCTGCCGGTGTCTCTCTCCCCGTGTCTCTCTCCCCGTGTCTCTCTCCCCGTGTCTCTCTCTCAGCGTGTCTCTCTCTCAGCGTGTCTCGCCAGGTCTCTCTGCCGGTGTCTCTCTCAGTGTGTCTCTCTCTCAGCGTATCTCTCAGCGTGTCTCTCTTGCCGTGTATCTCTCTCAGCGTGTCTCTCTCAGCGTGTCTCTCTTGCCGTGTCTTCTGCCGGTGTCTCTCAGCGTGTCTCTCTCTCAGCGTGTCTCTCTCTCAGCGTGTCTTGCCGTGTCTCTCTGCCGGTGTCTCTCTCTCAGCGTGTCTCTCTTGCCGTGTCTCTCTCTCAGCGTGCCGTGTCTCTCTCAGCGTGTCTCTCTCAGCGTGTCTCTCTCAGCGTGTCTCTCTCAGCGTGTCTCTCTCTCTCTCAGCGTGTCTCTCTTGCCGTGTCTCTCTGCCGGTGTCTCTCTCCCCGTGTCTCTCAGCGTGTCTCTCTCAGCGTGCCGTGTCTCTCTCAGCATGTCTCTCTCAGCGTGTCTCTCTCCCCCCTGTGTCTCTCTCTCTCTCCCCATGTCTCTCTCCCCGTGTCTCTCTCCCCCCCGTGTCTCTCTCCCCCCCGTGTCTCTCTCCCCCCCGTGTCTCTCTTCCCCCCGTGTCTCTCTCCCCCCCCGTGTCTCTCTCCCCCCCGTATCTCTCTCCCCCCCGTGTCTCTCTCCCCCCCGTGTCTCTCTCCCCCCCCGTGTCTCTCTCCCCGTGTGTCTCTCCCCGTGTCTCTCTCCCCCCCGTGTCTCTCTCCCCCCCGTGTCTCTCTCCCCCCCGTGTCTCTCTCCCCCCCGTGTCTCTCTCCCCCCCCGTGTCTCTCTCCCCCCCGTGTCTCTCTCCCCCCCCGTGTCTCTCTCCCCCCCGTGTCTCTCTCTCCCCGTGTCTCTCTCCCCCCCGTGTCTCTCTCCCCCCGTGTCTCTCTCCCCCCGTGTCTCTCTCCCCCCCGTGTCTCTATCCCCCCGTGTCTCTCTCCCCCCGTGTCTCTCTCCCCCCCGTGTCTCTCTCCCCCCGTGTCTCTCTCCCCCCGTGTCTCTCTCCCCCCCGTGTCTCTCTCTCCCCGTGTCTCTCTCTCCCCGTGTCTCTCTCCCCCCCGTGTCTCTCTCCCCCCCGTGTCTCTCTCCCCCCCGTGTCTCTCTCCCCCCCGTGTCTCTCTCCCCCCCGTGTCTCTCTCCCCCCCGAGTCTCTCTCCCCCCCGTGTCTCTCTCCCCCCCGTGTCTCTCTCCCCCCCGTGTCTCTCTCCCCCCCGTGTCTCTCTCCCCCCCGTGTCTCTCTCTCCTCGTGTCTCTCTCCCCCCCGTGTCTCTCTCCCCCCCGAGTCTCTCTCCCTGTGTCTCTCTCCCCGTGTCTCTCTCCCCGTGTCTCTCTCCCCGTGTCTCTCTCTCTCCCCGTGTCTCTCTCCCCGTGTCTCTCTCTCAGCGTGTCTCTCTCTCAGCGTGTCTCTCTCCCCGTGTCTCTCTCTCTCCCCGTGTCTCTCTCCCCGTGTCTCTCTCTCTCAGCGTGTCTCTCTCTCTTCGTGTCTCTCTCTCCCCGTGTCTCTCTCTCTCAGCGTGTCTCTCTCTCCCCGTGTCTCTCTCTCTCCCCGTGTCTCTCTCCCCGTGTCTCTCTCTCAGCGTGTCTCTTTCTCTCAGCGTGTCTCGCCGTGTCTCTCTGCCGGTGTCTCTCTCTCTCTGCCGGTGTCTCTCTCCCCCCCGTGTCTCTCTCCCCCCCGAGTCTCTCTCCCCGTGTCTCTCTCCCCCCCGTGTCTCTCTCCCCCCCGTGTCTCTCTCCCCCCCGTGTCTCTCTCCCCCCCGTGTCTCTCTCCCCCCCGTGTCTCTCTCCCCCCCGTGTCTCTCTCCCCCCCGTGTCTCTCTCCCCCCCGTGTCTCTCTCTCCCCGTGTCTCTCTCCCCCCCGTGTCTCTCTCCCCCCCGAGTCTCTCTCCCCGTGTCTCTCTCCCCGTGTCTCTCTCCCCGTGTCTCTCTCCCCGTGTCTCTCTCTCTTCCCGTGTCTCTCTCCCCGTATCTCTCTCTCAGCGTGTCTCTCTCAGCGTGTCTCTCTCCCCGTGTCTCTCTCTCTCCCCGTGTCTCTCTCCCCGTGTCTCTCTCTCAGCGTGTCTCTCTCTCTTCGTGTCTCTCTCTCCCCATGTCTCTCTCTCTCAGCGTGTCTCTCTCTCCCCGTGTCTCTCTCTCTCCCCGTGTCTCTCTCCCCGTGTCTCTCTCTCAGCGTCTCTCTCTCAGCGTCTCTTTCTCTCAGCGTGTCTCGCCGTGTCTCTCTGCCGGTGTCTCTCTCTCTCTGCCGGTGTCTCTCTCTCCCCTTGTCTCTCTCTCCCCGTGTCTCTCTCTCTCAGCGTGTCTCGCCGTGTCTCTCTGCCGGTGTCTCTCTCTCTCTGCCGGTGTCTCTCTCTCAGCGTGTCTCGCCGTGTCTCTGCCGCTGTCTCTCTCTCAGCGTGTCTCGCCGTGTCTCTCTCCCCGTGTCTCTCTCAGCGTGTCTCTCTCTCCCCGTGTCTCTCTCCCCGTGTCTCTCTCCCCGTGTCTCTCTCAGCGTGTCTCTCTCTCCCCGTGTCTCTCAGCGTGTCTCTCTCCCCGTGTCTCTCTCCCCGTGTCTCTCTCTCAGCGAGTCTCGCCGTGTCTCTCTGCCGGTGTCTCTCTCTCTGCCAGTGTCTCTCTCTCCCCGTGTCTCTCTCTCTCCGTGTCTCTCCCCGTGTCTCTCTCTCTCCCCGTGTCTCTCTCTCTCAGCGTGTCTCGCCGTGTCTCTCTGCCGGTGTCTCTCTCTCTCTGCCGGTGTCTCTCTCTCCCCGTGTCTCTCTCTCTCAGCGTGTCTCGCCGTGTCTTTCTGCCGGTGTCTCTCTCTCTCTGCCGGTGTCTCTCTCTCCCCGTGTCTCTCTCCCCGTGTCTCTCTCAGCGTGTCTCTCTCTCTCTCAGCGTGTTTCTCTGCCGGTGTCTCTCTTTCCCCGTGTCTCTCTCTCTCCCCGTGTCTCTCTCCCCGTGTCTCTCTCTCAGCGTGTTTTGCCGTGTCTCTCTGCCGGTGTCTCTCTCTTGCTGCCGGTGTCTCTCTCTCCCCGTGTCTCTCTGCTGGTGTCTCTCTGTCTCTCCCCGTGTCTCTCTCCCCGTGTCTCTCTCTCTCAGCGTGTCTCGCCATGTCTCTCTGCCGGTGTCTCTCTCAGCGTGTCTCGCCGTGTCTCTCTGCCGGTGTCTCTCTCTCTCTGCCGGTGTCTCTCTCTCGCCGTGTCTCTCTCTCTCTCAGCGTGTCTCGCCGTGTCTCTCTGCCGGTGTCTCTCTCTCTCTGCCGGTGTCTCTCTCTCCCCGTGTCTCTCTCTCCCCGTGTCTCTCTCTCTCAGCGTGTCTCTCTCTCTCAGCGTGTCTCTCTGCCGGTGTCTCTCTCTCCCCGTGTCTCTCTCCCCGTGTCTCTCTCCCCGTGTCTCTCAGCGTGTCTCGCCGTGTCTCTCTGCCGGTGTCTCTCTCCCCGTGTCTCTCTCCCCGTGTCTCTCTCCCCGTGTCTCTCAGCGTGTCTCTCTCTCTTTCAGCGTGTCTCGCCGTGTCTCTCTGCCGGTGTCTCTCTCTCGCTGCCGGTGTCTCTCTCTCCCCGTGTCTCTCTCTCTGCCGGTGTCTCTCTCTCTCCCCGTGTCTCTCTCCCCGTGTCTCTCTCTCTCAGCGTGTCTCGCCATGTCTCTCTGCCGGTGTCTCTCTCAGCGTGTCTCGCCGTGTCTCTCTGCCGGTGTCTCTCTCTCTCTGCCGGTGTCTCTCTCTCGCCGTGTCTCTCTCTCTCTCAGCGTGTCTCGCCGTGTCTCTCTGCCGGTGTCTCTCTCTCTCTGCCGGTGTCTCTCTCTCCCCGTGTCTCTCTCTCCCCGTGTCTCTCTCTCTCAGCGTGTCTCTCTCTCTCTCAGCGTGTCTCTCTGCCGGTGTCTCTCTCTCCCCGTGTCTCTCTCTCTCCCCGTGTCTCTCTCCCCGTGTCTCTCTCTCAGCGTGTCTCGCCGTGTCTCTCTGCCGGTGTCTCTCTCTCCCCGTGTCTCTCTCCCCGTGTCTCTCTCTCTCAGCGTGTCTCTCTGCCGGTGTCTCTCTCCCCGTGTCTCTCTCCCCGTGTCTCTCTCCCCGTGTCTCTCAGCGTGTCTCTCTCTCTCTCAGCGTGTCTCGCCGTGTCTCTCTGCCGGTGTCTCTCTCTCGCTGCCGGTGTCTCTCTCTCCCCGTGTCTCTCTCTCTGCCGGTGTCTCTCTCTCTCAGCGTGTCTCTCTCTCTCAGCGTGTCTCTCTGCCGGTGTCTCTCTGCTGGTGTGTGCAGGCTATGAGGAGATGGCCCAGGCCTCAAGTGCGGCCGAGTACGCCAAGTCCGGCTATGGAGGAGGTGGTGGCGGAGGAGGTGGTGGCGGAGGAGGTGGAGTCCAACCACAGAAGCAAGGATCTGCTCCAGGCAAGGGTGAGACACGGGGAGACACGGGGAGAGAGAGAGAGAGAGACACGGGGAGAGAGAGAGAGACACGGGGAGAGAGAGAGACTCGGGGAGAGAGACACAGAGAGAGAGACACGGGGAGAGAGATACGGTGAGAGAGACACGGGGAGAGAGAGACACGGGGAGAGAGAGAGACACGGGGAGACAGAGAGACACGGGGAGACAGAGAGACACGGGGAGACAGAGAGACACGGGGAGAGAGAGACACGGGGAGAGAGACACGGGGAGAGAGACACGGGGAGAGGGAGTCGCGGGGAGAGGGAGACACGGGGAGAGAGAGACACGGGGAGAGAGACACGGGGAGAGAGAGAGAGACACGGGGAGAGAGAGAGAGAGAGACTCGGGGAGGGAGACACGGGGAGAGAGACACGGGGAGAGAGAGAGACACGGGGAGAGAGAGAGACACGGGGAGAGAGAGAGAGAGACACGGGAAGAGAGAGAGAGACACCGGGAGAGAGAGAGACACGGGGAGAGAGAGAGAGACACGGGGAGAGAGAGAGAGAGAGACGGGGAGAGAGAGAGAGAGACACGGGGAGAGAGAGAGAGACTCGGGGAGAGAGACACGGGGAGAGAGACACGGGGAGAGAGAGAGACACGGGGAGAGAGAGAGAGAGACACGGGGAGAGAGAGACACGGGGAGAGAGAGACACGGGGAGAGAGAGAGACACGGGAAGAGAGAGACTCGGGGAGAGAGAGAGAGACACGGGGAGAGAGAGAGAGACACGGGGAGAGAGAGAGAGACACGGGGAGAGAGAGAGAGAGACACGGGGAGAGAGAGAGACACGGGGAGAGAGAGACACGGTAAGAGAGAGAGAGACACGGGGAGAGAGAGAGACACGGGGAGAGAGAGAGACACGGGGAGAGAGAGAGACACGGGGAGAGAGAGAGAGACACAGGGAGAGAGAGAGACACGGGAAGAGAGAGAGAGACGCGGAGAGAGACGCGGAGAGAGAGACGGGGAGACACGGCGAGACACGGGGAGACACGGGGAGGGACGTGGGGAGAGACGCGGAGAGAGATGCGGAGACATGGGGAGACACTTAGAGACACGGGGAGACACGGGGAGACACTTAGAGACATGGGGAGACACTTGGAGACACGGGGAGGGACGCGGGGAGAGACGCGGGGAGACATGGGGAGACACGGAGAGACGGAGACACGGGGGGACACGGGGAGACACTTAGAGACACGGGGAGACACTTAGAGACACGGGGAGACACTTAGAGACATGGGGGGAGAGACGCGGAGAGAGAGACGGGGAGACACGGGGAGACACGGGGAGACACTTAGAGACACGGGGAGACACGGGGAGACACTTAGACATGGGGAGACACGAGGAGACACTTAGAGACACGGGGAGACACGGGGAGACACTTAGAGACATGGGGAGACACGGAGAGACACTTAGAGACATGGGGAGACACTTGGAGACACGGGGAGGGACGTGGGGAGAGACGCGGAGAGAGATGCGGAGACACTTGGAGACACTTGGGAGACACGGGGGGACACGGGGAGGGACGCGGGGGGAGACGCGGGGAGGAGCGAGAGAAATAGAGGGGGAGGGATGGGGAGGGATAGAGGGGGAGGGATGGGGATGGGGAGGGGGGATGGGGATAGAGGGGGAGGGGGCGTGGTTGATGTACGGTTTGTTGTTTCAGGAGTTTCCGTGGCGTCCAGTAACTCGGGTGTGCCTGACATTTCAGGTTCTGTGTACAGCAAAACACAGGTGGTGAGTTACTCACCCGCCCACTCACCCACTCACCCACCCACTCATCCACCCACTCACCCACCCGCTCGCCCATCCACTCGCTCACCCACTCACCCACCCGCTCACCCACCCACTCACCCACCCGCTCACCCACTGACCCACCCACTCACCCACTCACCCACCCGCTCACCCACCCGCTCACCCACTCACCCACCCGCTCACCCACCCGCTCGCCCACTCACCTACCCACTTCACCCACTTACCAATCCACTCATCCACTGAACCACCCACCCACTCATTCACTCAATCAACGACACAATCACCCACCTACCCCCTCCCTAGCCACCTACCCGCTAACTCACACTCACCACGCTCGCTCACCTGAACACTCACTCGCTCGACCACTCGCTCGACCACTCGCTCACTCACTCGACCACTCGCTCACCCGACCACTCGCTCACCCGACCACTCGCTCACTCGACCACTCGCTCGACCACTCGCTCACTCACCCGACCACTCGCTCACTCACCCGACCACTCGCTCACCCGACCACTCGCTCACCCGACCACTCGCTCACCCGACCACTCGCTCACCCGACCACTCGCTCACTCGACCACTCACTCGACCGCTGACTCGACCGCTCACCCGACCACTCGCTCACCCGACCACTCGCTCACCCGACCACTCGCTCACCCGACCACTCACTCACCCGACCACTCGCTCACTCGACCACTCACTCGACCGCTGACTCGACCACTCACCCGACCACTCGCTCACCCGACCACTCGCTCACCCGACCACTCACTCACCCGACCACTCGCTCACTCGACCACTCACTCGACCGCTGACTCGACCGCTCACCCGACCACTCGCTCACCCAACCACTCACTCGACCACTCACTTACTCGACCACTCACTCACTCAACCGACTACTCGCTCGACCACTCGCTCACTCAACCACCCGACCACTCACTTAACCACTCGCTCGCCCTTTCAACCACTCAGTCTCTCACCCATTCACACTCACTACACGCTCGCTCACCCGGTGAGGTGCACACTTGTAGACCCTGTGTGGCTCACCAGTGTCACCATCAGGGGGGAAATTCTCTGTGCAACATCAAGAGCCGTGAGTGTGAGGTGGGTGTGAGCTCACCACTCACGCTCACTCAACCACTCACGGCTTACAAGGCTCCACCACCATGGTCACACTCACCACTCACTCACCCACTCACTCACCCACTCATTTACTCACCCACTCACTCACCCACCCACCCACTCACCCACCCACCCACTCACCCACCCACCCACTCACCCACCCACCCACTCACTCACTCACCACTCACTCATCCACTCACTCACCCACTCACCCACTCACCCACCCACCCACTCACCCACCCACTCACCCACCCACTCACTCACTCACTCACCCACCCACCCACCCACTCACTCACCCACCCACCCACTCACCCACCCACTCACCCACCCACTCACCCACTCACTCACCCACTCACTCACCCACTCACTCATCCACTCACTCACCCACTCACCCACTCACCCACCCACCCACTCACCCAGTCACTCACCCACTCACTCACCTACTCACTCACCCACCCACCCACTCACCCACTCACCCACCCACTCACCCACTCACTCACCCACTCACTCACCCACTCACCCACCCACCCACTCACCCACCCACTCACCCACTCACTCACCCACTCACCCACTCACCCACTCACTCACCCACTCACTCACCCACCCACCCACTCACCCACCCACCCACTCACCCACCCACCCACTCACCCACCCACCCACTCACTCACTCACCACTCACTCATCCACTCACTCACCCACTCACCCACTCACCCACCCACCCACTCACCCACCCACTCACCCACCCACTCACTCACTCACTCACCCACCCACTCACCCACTCACTCACCCACCCACCCACTCACCCACCCACTCACCCACCCACTCACCCACTCACTCACCCACTCACTCACCCACTCACTCATCCACTCACTCACCCACTCACCCACTCACTCACCCACCCACTCACCCAGTCACTCACCCACTCACTCACCTACTCACTCACCCACCCACCCACTCACCCACTCACCCACCCACTCACCCACTCACTCACCCACTCACTCACCCACTCACCCACCCACCCACTCACCCACCCACTCACCCACTCACTCACCCACTCACCCACTCACCCACTCACTCACCCACTCACTCACTCACCCACCCACCCACTCACCCACCCACCCACCTACTCACCCACCCACCTACTCACCCACCCACTCACTCACCCACTCACTCACCCACTCACTCACCCACTCACCCACTCATTTACTCACCCACTCACTCACCCACCCATCCACTCACCCACCCACCCACTCACTCACTCACTCACCCACCCACCCACTCACCCACCCACCTACTCACCCACCCACCTACTCACCCACCCACCTACTCACCCACCCACCCACTCACTCACCCACTCACTCACTCACCCACCCACCTACCCACCCACTCACTCACCCACCCACTCACTCACTCATCCACTCACTCATCCACTCACTCACCCACTCACTCATCCACTCACTTACCCATTCACTAACTCATCTACCCACCTAATCACCCACTCACTCACCCACTCACCCACCCACTCACTCACCCACTCACTCACCCACCCACCTACTCACCCACCCACCTACTCACCCACCCACTCACTCAGCCACCCACTCACTCATCCACTCACTCACTCATCCACTCACCCACTCACTCACTCATCCACCCACCTAATCACCCACTCACTCATCCACTCACTCATCCACTCACTCACTCATCCACTCACCCGCCCACTTAATCACCCACTCACTCACCCACTCACTCATCCACTCACCCACTCCGTGAGTATGAGCTCACCACTCAGGCTCACTGAACCACTCACGGCTTACAAGCATCACCACCACGATCGTACTCACCCACTCACTCACCCTCACCCACTAACCCTCACCACCACACTCACCCACTCACTCACTCACCCACTCACTCACTCACCCACTCACCCACTCACTCACCCACCCACTCACTCACCCTCACTCACTCACCCTCACCACCACACTCACCCACTCACTCACCCACTCACCCACCCACTCACCCACCCACCCACTCACTCACCCACTCACCCACTCACCCACCCACTCACTCACCCACCCACTTACTCTCCCACTCACTCATTCACTCACTCACTCATCCACTCACTCATCCACTCACTCACTCACCCACTCACCCACTCATTCATCCACTCACCCACTCTGTGAGTATGAGCTCACCACTCACGCTCACTGAACCACTCACTCACCCACCTACTCACTCACTCATCCACTCACTCACCCACTCACTCACCCACTCACTCATCCACTCATCCACTCACTCATCCACTCACCCACTCTGAGTGTGAGCTCACTACTCATGCTCACTGAACCACTCACGGCTTACAAGCATCACTACCACGATCGTACTTACCCGCTCACCCACCGACTCACCAACCCACTCGCCCACACTCACCCACACACTCACTCACCCTCACCACCACACTCACCCACTCACTCACCCACTCACTCACCCACACATTCACTCACCCACTCACTCACCCACCCACTCACTCACTCACCCACACACCTACTCACTCACCCACACATTCACTCACCCACACACCCACTCACTCACTCACCCACTCACTCATTCACTCACCCACCCACTCACCCTCACCACCACACTCACCCACTCACTCACCCACCCTTACTCTAATCCTCCACATCTCCCATCTCCCCGTGTCCATGTATCTCACTTCTCGCCGTGTCTCTTCTCTCCCGTGCCTCCCTCCTCGTCCTCCACCTCCTGTTCCACCTCCTCCTGTTCCACCTCCTCCACCACCTCCTGTTCCTCCTGTTCCTCCACCTCCTCCTGTTCCACCTCCTCCACCACCTCCTGTTCCTCCTGTTCCTCCTCCACCTCCTATTCCTCCTCCTCCTGTTCCACCTCCTCCACCACCTCCTGTTCCACCTCCTCCTGTTCCACCTCCTCCACCACCTCCTGTTCCACCTCCTCCACCACCTCCTGTTCCACCTCCTCCACCACCTCCTCCACCTCCTGTTCCTCCTCCTCCTGTTCCACCTCCTCCTCCACCTCCTGTTCCTCCTCCACCTCCTGTTCCTTCTTCTGTTCCACCTCCTCCACCTCCTCCTGTTCTACCTCCTCCTGTTCCTCCTCCACCTCCTGTTCCACCTCCACCACCTCCCGTTCCTCCTCCTCGACAACCTCCTCCTGCTGCACCTCCCCGTGTCTCTCTCCATCTCCCTCCCCCTCTCCCATCTGCCCACCCCTCCCCCCCTCCCCCATCTCCCTCCCCCATCTCCCTCCCCCCATCTCCCTCCCCCCATCTCCCTCCCCCATCTCCCTCCCCCATCTCCCTCCCCCCATCTCCCTCCCCCATCTCCCTCCCCCATCTCCCTCCCCCCATCTCCCCCCTCCCCCCCCCATCTCCCTCCCCCATCTCCCTCCCCCTCCCACCTCCCCCTCCCCCCCACCTCCCCTCACCCCCCCCGTGCCCCTCCCCCTGGGCGGCAGGCGTTTGACAAACAGGGCAGCTTTCACGCCGGGACTCCGCCTCCCTTCAGCTTGCCCTCGGCACTCGGCGGCTCCGGCGCCCTCAGCGCTCCGGGCGGGCCGGCCTATGGCCCGGCCTACATGGCCATCCTACCACCACCACCACCACCACAGGCCCAGCTGCACTCACACATGGACTCGCAGGTGAGAGGCCAGGAGGCTCACTCACTCACTCACTCGCTCACTCACTCACTTACTCATCCACTCACTCACCCACTCACTCACTCACTCGCTCGCTCAGTCACTCACTCACCCACTCGCTCACCCACTCACTCACTCACCCGGCCTACATGGCCATCCTACCACCACCACCACCACCACAGGCCCAGCTGCACTCACACATGGACTCGCAGGTGAGAGGCCAGGAGGCTCACTCACTCACTCATTCACTTACTCACCCGCTCGCTCGCTCACTCGCTCACTCATCCACTCACTCACCCACTCACTCACCCACTCACTCATCCACTCGCTCACTCACTCACTCGCTCACTCACTCACTCATCCACTCGCTCACTCACCCACTCGCTCACTCACCCACTCGCTCACCCACTCACTCACTCACCCGGCCTACATGGCCATCCTACCACCACCACCACCACCACAGGCCCAGCTGCACTCACACATGGACTCGCAGGTGAGAGGCCAGGAGGCTCGCCCGCTCACTCACTCACTCACTTACTCATCCGCTCACCCACTCACTCACCACTCACTCACCACCCGCTCACTCACTCACCACCCGCTCACTCACTCACCACCCCGCTCACTCACTCACTCACCACCCGCTCACTCACCACCCGCTCACTCACTCACTCACCACCCGCTCACTCACTCACTCACCACCCGCTCACTCACCACCCGCTCACTCACTCACTCACCACTCACTCACTCACCACCCGCTCACTCACTCACCACCCGCTCACTCACTCACCACCCGCTCACTCACTCACTCACCACTCATTCACCCACTCACTCACCACTCATTCACCCACTCACTCACCACTCACTCACCACCCGCTCACTCACTCACTCACCACTCATTCACCCACTCACTCACCACTCATTCACCCACTCACTCACCACTCACTCACTCACCACTCACTCACTCACCACCCGCTCACTCACTAACCACCCGCTCACTCACTCCCTCAATCGCTTGTTCACCGCTGACTCACCACTCACTCACCCTCACCATTCTCTACTCACTGGGACACACAGGTGGGTTAGAGAGTCACTCACTGTCACTCACTGTCACTCACTCACACTCACTGTCACTCACTGTCACTCACTCACTGTCACCCACTCACTGTCACTCACTCACTCACTCTCACTCACTCACTCACTGTCACTCACTGTCACTCACTGTCACTCACTCACACTCACTCACTGTCACTCACTCACTGTCACTCACTGTCACTCACTCACTGTCACTCACTCACACTCACTGTCACTCACTCACACTCACTGTCACTCACTCACACTCACTGTCACTCACTCACTCACTGTCACTCACTGTCACTCACTCACTGTCACTCACTCACTGTCACTCACTGTCACCCACTCACACTCACTGTCACTCACTCACACTCACTGTCACTCACTCACTCACTCTCACACTCACTCTCACTTACTCACTGTCACTCACTGTCACTCACTGTCACTCACTCACACTCACTCACTGTCACTCACTGTCACTCACTCACTCTACCACTCACTCTCACTTACTCACTCTCACACTCACTCACTGTCACTCACTGTCACCCACTCACACTCACTCACTGTCACTCACTCACACTCACTCACTGTCACTCACTCTCACTTACTCACTCTCACGCTCACTCTCACTCACTGTCACTCACTCACTGTCACTCACTGTCACGCACTCACACTCACTCACTGTCACTTACTCACTGTCACTCACTGTCACTCACTCACACTCACTGTCACTCACTGTCACTTACTCACACTTACTCACTGTCACTCACTCACACTCACTGTCACTCACTCACACTCACTGTCACTCACACTCACTCACTGTCACTCACTCACACTCACTGTCACTCACTCACTCTCACTCACTCACTCTCACTCACTCACTGTCACTCACTGTCACTCACTTACTCACTGTCACCCACTGTCACCCACTCACTCTCACTCACTGTCACTCACTCACACTCACTCACTGTCACTCACTGTCACTCACTCACACTCACTGTCACTCACTGTCACCCACTCACTGTCACTCACTCACTTACACTCACTCACTGTCACTCACTCACTCACACTCACTGTCACTCACTGTCACCCACTCACTCACACTCACTGTCACTCACTCACTGTCACTCACTGTCACCCACTCACACTCACTCACTGTCACTCACACTCACTGTCACTCACTCACTCTCACTTACTCACTGTCACTCACTCACTGTCACTCACTCTCACTTACTCACTGTCACTCACTCTCACTCACTGTCACTCACTCACACTCACTCACTGTCACACACTCACTGTCACTCACTGTCACTCACTCTCACTCACTGTCACTCACTCACACTCACTGTCACTCACTCACTGTCACTCACTCACTGTCACTCACTGTCACTCACTGTCACCCACTCACACTCATTCACTCACTGTCACTCACTGTCACTCACTGTCACTCACTCACTGTCACTCACTCACTGTCACTCACTGTCACCCACTCACTCTCACTTACTCACTCTCACGCTCACTCTCACTCCCTGTCACTCACTCACACTCACTCTCTCACTCACTCATTCTCTCACTAACTCACTCACACTCACTCTCACTCACTCACTCTCACACTCACTCACTTACTCACTGTCACTCACTGTCACCCACTCACACTCACTCACTGTCACTCACTCACTGTCACCCACTCACACTCACTGTCACTCACTCACTCACTGTCACCCACTCACACTCACTGTCACTCACTCACTCACTGTCACTCACTCACTCTCCCACTCACTCTCACTTACTCACTGTCACTCACTCTCACTTACTCACTGTCACTCACTCTCACTCACTGTCACTCACTGTCACTCACTCACTGTCACTCACTCACTGTCACTCACTCACTCTCACTCACTGTCACTCACTCACACTCACTGTCACTCACTCACTCTCACTCACTGTCACTCACTCTCACTTACTCACTGTCACTCACTGTCACTCACTGTCACTCACACTCACTCACTGTCACTCACTGTCACTCACTCTCACTTACTCACTCTCACTTACTCACTGTCACTCACTCTCACTTACTGTCACTCACTGTCACTCACTGTCACTCACTCACTGTCACTCACTCACTGTCACTCACTCACTGTCACTCACTGTCACTCACTCACACTCACTCACTGTCACTCACTCACTGTCACTCACTTACTCACTCTCACGCTCACTCTCACTCACTGTCACTCACTCACTCTCACTCACTCACTCTCCCACTCACTCTCACTTACTCTCCCACTCACTTACTCACTGTCACTCACTGTCACTCACTCTCCCACTCACTCTCTCACTCACACTCTCACTCACTCTCACACTCACTCACTCTCACTTGCTCACTCTCACACTCACTCACTTACTCACTGTCACTCACTGTCACTCACTCTCACTCACTCTCCCACTCACTCTCTCACTCACACTCTCACTCACTCTCTCTCTCACTCACTGTCACTTACTCACTGTCACTCACTCACTCTACCACTCACTCTCACTTTCTCACACTCACTCACTGTCACTCACTGTCACTCACTCACTCTCACGCACTCTCACTTACACTCACTACACTCACTCTCTCTCACACTCACTCTCACTGTCACTCACTGTCACCCACTCACACTTACTCACTCACTCACTGTCACTCACTCTCACTCACTCACTCACTCTCACTCACTCTCCCACTCACTCTCTAACTCACACTCTCACTCACTCTCTCTCTCACTCACTGTCACTTACTCACTGTCACTCACTCACTCTACCACTCACTCTCACTTACTCACTCTCACACTCACTTACTCACTGTCACTCACTGTCACTCACTCACTCTCACGCACTCTCACTTACACTCACTACACTCACTCTCTCTCACACTCACTCACTCTCACACTCACTCACTTACTCACTGTCACTCACTGTCACCCACTCACACTTACTCACTCTCACTCACTGTCACTCACTCTCACTCACTCTCCCACTCACTCTCTCACTCACACTCACTCTCACTTACTCACTCTCCCACTCACTCTCACGCTCACTCACTCTCTCACTCACTCTCTCACTCACTCACTCACTCTCTCACTCACTCACTCACTCTCCCACTCACTCTCACTTACTCACTGTCACTTACTCACTCTCACACTCACTCTCTAACTCACTCACTCACTCACTAACCCTCACTCACTCTCTCACCCTCTCACTCACTCACTCACTCTCTCACTCACTCACTCTCCCACTCACTCTCACTTACTCACTGTCACTTACTCACTCTCACACTCACACTCACCTCTCACTCACTCTCTCACTCACTCTCACTCTCTCACTCACTCACTAACTCACTCTCTCACTCACTCTCTAACTCACTCACTCACTCACTAACCCTCACTCACTCACTCTCTCACTCACTCACTCACTCTCTCACTCTCTAACTCACTCACTCACTAACTCTCTCTCACTCACTCTCTCACTCACTCACTAACTCACTCTCTCACTCACTCTCTAACTCACTCACTCACTCACTAACCCTCACTCACTCACTCACTCTCTCACTCACTCTCTCTCTCTCACTCTCTAACTCACTCACTCACTAACTCTCTCTCACTCACTCTCTCATTCTCATTCACTCACTCACTCTCACTCACTCACTAACTCTCTCACTCACTCACTCTCTCATTCTCATTCACTCACTCACTTTCTCACTCACTCTCCCACTCACTCACCCACCCATTCACTCACTCACTCTCTCACTCACTCTCCCACTCACTCACCCACCCATTCACTCACTCTCTCACTCACCCACTCACCACTCACTCTCTCACTCACTCTCTCACTAACGCTCTCACACTCTCACTCACTCTCTCACTCTCACTCACTCTCTCACTTTCACTCTCTCACTTTCACTCTCTCACTCGCTCACTCTCTCACTCACCCACTCACCACTCACTCTCTCACTCACTCTCTCACTAACTCTCTCACTATCTCACTCACTCTCTCACTCACTCTCTCACTCTCACTCACTCTCTCACTCTCTCACTTTCACTCTCTCACTCACCCTCTCACTCACTCTCACTCTCTCACTCTCACTCACTCACTCTCTCACACTCACTCACTCACTCTCACTCTCTCACTCTCTCACTTTCACTCTCTCACTCACTCTCTCACTCGCTCACTCTCTCACTCACCCACTCACCACTCACTCTCTCACTAACTCTCTCACACTCTCACTCACTCTCTCACTCACCCACTCACTCTCTCACCACTCACTCTCTCCCCGTCTCTCACGGCACTCTCACACGGACACGCAGGTGAGGTCAGACAGTCACCGCTCTATCTCATGGACACCCAGCCAGGTGAGATGAGTCTCACCACGCACGCTCACCACACTCTCGCTCACCACACACGCTCACCACGCACGCTCACCACACTCTCGCTCACCACACACACACACACTCACCACACACACACACACTCGCTCACCACACTCTCGCTCACCACACTCTCGCTCACCACACATGCTCACCACACACGCTCACCACACTCTCGCTCACCACGCACTCGTTCACCACACTCTCGCTCACCACACACTCTCACCACGCACGCTCACCACACACTCGCTCACCACACACTCGCTCACCACACTCTCGCTCACCACACATGCTCACCACACACGCTCACCACACACTCGCTCACCACACACTCGCTCACCACACATGCTCACCACACACGCTCACCACACACTCGCTCACCACACTCTCGCTCACCACACATGCTCACCACACACGCTCACCACACACTCGCTCACCACACATGCTCACCACACACGCTCACCACACACTCGCTCACCACACACTCGCTCACCACACACACACACACTAGCTCACCACACTCACACACACTCGCTCACCACACACACACACACACACTCGCTCACCACACACACACACACTCACCACACACACACACACTCGCTCACCACACTCTCGCTCACCACACTCTCGCTCACCACACACGCTCACCACACACGCTCACCACACACTCGCTCACCACACACACACACACTAGCTCACCACACACACACACACTCGCTCACCACACACACTCACCACACACTCGCTTACCACACACACACACTCACCACACACACACACTCGCTCACCACACACACTCGCTCACCACACACACACACTCTCTCACCACACACACACACACTCACCACACACACACACACTCACCACACACACACACACACTCACCACACACACAAACACACTCACCACACACACACACTCGCTCACCACACACACACACTCACCACACACACACACACTCGCTCACCACACACACACACACTCGCTCACCACACACTCGCTCACCACACACTCGCTCACCACACACACACTCGCTCACTCACCACACACACACTCGCTCACCACACACACACACACTCGCTCACCACACACACACACACTCCCTCACCACACACACACTCACACTCGCTCACCACACACACACACACACTCGCTCACCACACACACACTCACTCGCTCACCACACACGCACACACACTCGCTCACCACACACACACACACACTCGCTCACCACACACACACACACTCGCTCACCACACACACACACCACACACACACACCACACGCTCACCGCACACACACACACTCACCACACACACACACTCGCTCACCACACACACACACTCACCACACACACACTACACACACACTCACCACACACACACTCACTCACCACACACACACACTCACCACACACACACTACACACACACTCACCACACACACACACACACTCGCTCACCACACACACTCGCTCGCCACACACTCACTCGCTCACCACACACACACTCGCTCACCACACACACACACTCACCACACACACACACTCACCACACACACACACTCACCACACACACTCGCTCACCACACACACACTCGCTCACCACACACACACTCGCTCACCACACACACACACTCACCACACACACACACACACTCACCACACACACACACACTCGCTCACCACACACACACCACACACACACCACACGCTCACCACACACACACACACTCGCTCACCACACACACACACACTCACCACACACACACACACACTCGCTCACCACACACACACACTCACCACACACACACACACTCACCACACACACACACTCGCTCACCACACACACACACACCACACACACACCACACGCTCACCACACACACACTCACCACACGCTCACCACACACACACACACTCACCACACACACTCGCTCACCACACACACACACCACACACACACTCGCTCACCACACACACACACACACTCACTCACCACACACACACTCACACTCACTCACCACACACACACTCACACTCGCTCACCACACACACACACACACACTCGCTCACCACACACACTCACCACACACACACACACACTCACTCGCTCACCACACACGCACACACACTCGCTCACCACACACACACACACACTCGCTCACCACACACTCACTCGCTCACCACACACACACTCGCTCACCACACACACACACTCACCACACACACACACACACTCGCTCACCACACACACACACTCGCTCACCACACACACACACTCACCACACACACACACACTCACCACACACACACACTCGCTCATCACACACACACACCACACACACACCACACGCTCACCACACACACACACACTCGCTCACCACACACACACACACTCACCACACACACACACACTCGCTCACCACACACACACACACACTCGCTCACCACACACACACACACTCACTCACCACACACACACACTCACCACACACACACACACACTCACCACACACACTCGCTCACCACACACACACACACACCACACACACACCACACACACACTCGCTCACCACACACACACACCACACACACACTCGCTCACCACA